CTCTAAACCTTATACAGTGGTAAGTTTAAATTAGAATTTCCTTGTTTATTATACAACAATTTGTAAAGTTGTAGAAACATTAGGTATTTTTGGAAGCAGGCAAGATGAAAATGAGGTACGCCTTTCGGGAATCGAACCCGACCTCTGGAATACGCTCCCACGTTCAGACGCCACATCATGAAGGCATGTCAGAAGGGGGAGAAACCTATATACTCCTCCTTTTAGAGTCGACTGGGTTTCTAGAGACCCAATCACCAATCCTGGGAGAGGAGACTATCATCCAACACCCTTTAGTTCGGCAACACTGTAAGACATTAGTATTTTTTTGAAGCACAAAATGAAAAAAAGCAACGCTTCCCCGGGATCGACCGCGGACCTCTGGAGTACGCGCCCAGCGTGCATACCACACCAAGAAGTTGGAAAAATACAAGTAACTAAGTTTTCTTATGTATAATTTCAGTCTCTTAGAATGGTTAAAATATCACTGCAAAGATAAACGTTGTAAAAGGTATGAGGATATTGTATTTCTAAAATTTCAGCTATCTATTTTTATAAAAACGTAATATAGCTTAATATTAGAACAGTACTAAGAAACTAATGAATTTTGAAAGGGGCAAATTAAAATTGAGAAACATAGAAAGAACAAAACGTAAACCTACTATGAGTTTACTTACAGATTATACGAAACAAGATTGAAAGCATTTCATAGCTTTTATTGCCATACTCTCAAATTTTAGTAATGCTTCTATTCCTCCTATATCTCCTTAAAAAAGGGATAAAAAAAAAGAATTGAAATCTGAAACACCAGATTACACTCTAACATTTCAAACAGCTACAATTAAAATTTCGAAATTAAAAAACAATTTAATTTTTTTAAATCATCTTTTAAAAAGATGTGCTGTTGGTCTTGTTACGAAGATCTCAGTTTATCACCTGAAGCTAGTAGTGAGTATTGGCCTATATTTATCATTATTTTCCCAAAACTTACATAACATTTTTACTTAAATGAGCTTCTCAAAACATATAATGGCAAAAAATAATTCGCTGTAACACTGTTTCGTTCAAATAATTTCTTGCTGAGACTGTGTGCACTTATTTGAAAAGAAGATCAATTTACAAGACATATCTTTATCAAATTTCTCTCAAAGTCTTTTGATGATTGTTTGTAATATCTAGCTTTCATACCCAATTACGAATAGCTTCTCTTTCTTCCGCGTGCTTCCATGTACAGCCTTTATGATTATCATGGACCTTATAAGAATAACTAACCCAAATGGTTTTCCCCCCGTCGAGACGTTCCCGGCTGTCACTTGATCACATCCGAACGAGTAGGGACGACTTGCAGAATTTAACAGTGGTTACATATGCAGCGTGTATAATTGTCAAGAAAAGCGGTTGTCGCGCTTCCATTCTCAATTAGAATTTTCTCATATTTTTGCTTTTGAAATTGAGGTTGATTTTTAAAAATTTAGCATATTTATCAGCATAAATGAGTTCCAAATAATTATAAGCTATGCATGCTTTCAGGGCTGGATATTTTTAGCTTTTCCTATGCTGTAAGGAAATTTGTAAATACTTCTTTTAGAAAATAATTTTAAATCTGAACCTAATAGAAAATTTCAAACAAGCATTTTTTTCTCTTGAATTTTATGCTTTTTATTGGTGTATATAAGTAAAAAATACTAAAATATTTAAAACGAATTTTTGAAAGTTTTGTTTAAACTTCTAATTGTGCTGCTTCTTTAAATTATAGATACTATTATAGCACATTTCTACAAAGAATTTTATTTCAATCATATTTCATATACACCATAGTGATAAACACTTTGACTCCTAATAATGTTTATACATTTAATTCGAATATTAAATTTGTATTTAACTGTAATATTTAATTTTACTTGTATTTTATGGTAATTATTTTTTAATTTATTTTTAGTTCTGCCATAAGATTTTTTTTTTACTGTTAATTTAATTTATTAGCCCAAGTGGCGTACCTAAAAGGCTGTTAGTTTCGAAGCGGCATTTTGAGCGTTTTACTATAAATGTCCGTTTCTCCTTGCAAATTGTTGTTACCAAATATTATCGTCCTGTATTATATTTAAAGAAATTAAATAATGAAGAATTTGCATGATCATGTATGTTTCTCGCACTGTGACAAAACGACAGTATCTAAGCCATCACATTTTGATAATGTAATCCTACCCCGAACATGGGCATTGGACGGCTGAATTTCGAATTTGTTTTAATCTATTTCATATTTTGTAAAACTTTAACGAATTTTTGTTAACAAACTCAAGAGTTCAGAGAGAGCACTGTATCGGAAAATAATAGTTTTATCTCCAGTGCGGAAATTCTAAAGATATGCTGTTTTCAAATGTATGTGGTTTACGGGCGAAGAGAAAAAACAAGGGGCGCCTAATGGTAAACTTTTACCACTAAAATAAATATTCCACTTTAAAGTTAATAAGTTAATGATGATATAATCAAATAACTGATTGTTTTGTAATGCTATTATAGTTTTGAAAATCACTGCCTGAAAATGGTCATTAAATTTTAAAAAAAGTTATCAGATCTTGTTTAATTTTACCTTATTTATTTCAAAGCATCACGTACTATCAATCTGATTCAATTTTACGTTATTTGTACGCAAAATTAAGTTCATAAATTTTGTGCCTAGAGTTTTTACCGTTTTACCAAAGTAAAGATGTTTGTACAAGAATTACGCATGAAAAAAATGCGCAAAGTGCAGTAAAAAGTGCTTTAATGAGCTATATTAAATCCTATTTGGAAAAAACTGTGGCTTCCATAATCTCATCACTATACAACGTATCACATTTAATAATTAAAAAGAGTTATGTGATACGAACGTCATAGGCCTAAGAGTTAATGTAAACCAGATCGTCCCTACTCTTTCTTCCCGACATGTTGGAGACGTGCGCCCCGCCCACTGGGTTAGTCTATCTCTTATAAGGTCCATGATACCATCATGGACGTCTTCGATATGTCGGCGAGAAAGAGTAGGGACGATCTGGTTTACTTCACTGAAACCTATGGCGTTTGTATCACATAACTCTTTTTAATTATTAAATGTGATACGTTGTATAGTGATGAGATTATGAAAGCCACAGTTTTTTCCAAATAGGAATTAATATATCTCATTAAAGCACTTTTTACTGCATTTCGCGCATTTTTTTCACGCGTAATTCGTGTACAAACATCTTTGCTTTGGTGAAACGGTAAAAACTCTAAGTACAAAATTTATAAACTTAATTTTGCGTACAAATAACGTAAAATTCAACAAGATTAATACTACGTGATGCTTTGAAATAAATAAGGTAAAATTAAACAAGATCTGATATATTTTTTTTTTAATTTAATGACTATTTTCAGGCAGTGATTTTCAAAACTATAATAACATTACAAAACAATCATATATTTGATTATATCCTCATTAACTTATTAACATTAAAGTGGAATATTTATTTTAGTAATTTATAAAATTCGAAGCACAAAATTTTCTGAGTGTAATGAAGGGAAAAAAGAAAAGGTAAAATAAAATCTAGAAGTACTCAGATTTTATATTACTCCCAAAGGGAATCTTTTTTAACGTTTTGTGTGTTACCTATATTTATTGAATATCATGTTCTTCGCCCGTAAGCCATATACATTTGAAAACAGCATATCTTTAGACTTTCCGCACTGGAGATAAAACTGTTATTTTCCGTACAATGCTCGCTCTGAACTCGTTGAGTTTGTTAATCAAAAATTCGTTAAAGTTTTACAAAATATGAAATAAATTAAAACAAATTTGAAATTCGGACGTTCAGATGCCCATGCTCGGATGGAGGATTACATTATTCAAAATTTGATGGCTTTAGATACTGTCGTTTTTGTCACAGTGTGAGAACCATACATGTATTCATGCAGATTCTTCATTATTTAATTTCTTTAAATATAATACAGGGCGATAATATTTGGTAACAACAATTTGCAAGGAGACACGGACATTTGTAGTGAAACAGCGCACAATGCCGCTTCGAAACCAATAGCCTTTCTAGGCTAACGCTCCTTTGGGCTAATAAATTAAGTTAACAGTAAATAAAAAAAAAAATCTTATGCAGAACTAAAAATAAATTCAAAAATAATCACTATAAAATACAAGCAAAATTAATTATTACGGTTAAATGCAATTTTAATATTAGAATTAAATGTATAAAAGTTATTAAGAAGGTAAAATGTGTTTATCACTATGATGCATTATGAAATATAATTGAAATTAAATTCCTTTATAGAAATTGTGCTATAATACTCATCTATAATTTTAAAAAAGCAGCACAATTTAGAATTTTAAACAAAACTTTCAAAATTTTTTTTTAATATTTTAGTATTTTTTTACTTATTTACACCAATAAAAAGCATAAAATTGCAAGAGAAAATTGCTTGTTTGAAATTTTCTATTAGTTCAGATTTAAAGTATTATTTTCTAAAAGAAGTAGTTACAAATTTCCTTACAGCATAGGAAAAGCTAAAAAAATATAAAGCCCTGAAAGCATGCAATAGCTTTATAATTATTTGGAACGTTAAACCCGGGGAACGTTGGTTCCCCGGGGCAGAGCTGAACTATGCGGAAAACATTTGGGTTAGTCTATTTCTTATAAGGTCCATGGTGGTTATTTGCTGACGTCATATTTCCCTTTAGATTAAGGAACTCCCCTCAGACTCTAGATCTCAAACAAGAGGCAATAACATATCTTTAGTGCAACCGCTTATTACATTATTTTTGATTGTCATGTTAAATTTTCTTACTGTTACTTATATTTCTGCAAGAACAAGGTGTAAGTACATATTAATCTGAGTTAAATCATGTAAAGCATGCCCCAGATGCTCTCAGTAGACGTGATGCACAAAGAATGACTTATGAAAGAACTTAAAATTTCCTTGAAATACCATTGGTACAATATCTCAACTCTCATCAATAATGTAGAGGAGAGCATGTGCACAACATGTACCAGACTTGCGTTATTATACGAGAAAGTCACTCATTCTGTTGAGAGACTGATATCTGTCATCATTTCAGCATGAAAGTTTGCATGACTTTTTGGCATTGCTCTAATTAGCATATTCTTTTCATATTATGAGCTTGTTTCTCCATATGGAGACATCTGCACTACTTTGCTTTATAAAGAATGTATATTAACTGAACTAAATATGTGCCAAATTGAATATCTTCTGTCACTGTCTATATGAGATCGACATCTGCTTCTCATTCTGATATTAGGAATTAATATCAGAATTAATATCAGAACTTACTTTCTTCTTTCAAAACATTTTAATGGACGGAAACACACACAAACTACAAATACATGCACAGTTTAAATAACGGCCAATATCTTAAATATTTAGAAATCAACTAACTCATTGTTAATTCTAACAAGGAGTTCGAATTCTACTAAGCTGGAGTATAATCTGATTCCGTAGCATTGCTACTGACAGGCTATTATTTAATTGTCATCTATTAGCGTGTCTGTTATTAACTATTTCAAAACGTACCTCTAATCCTTTGTAGCTGTCAAGTACTGTAGATATTTTCCTGTTTCAAATACTTACACTAGTTTTATTACTTTATTTAATTACTGTTTATGATACTTGACATATTTATTTGTTTCTAGCCAGCGAAGAAGAAAGGTGATGAAATAATAGATGTGGAATGGTTCCCCGGGGCAGAGCTGAACTATGCGGAAAACATACTTCGTTACAGAGATGACACAGTTGCACTCATATGTGTAGGTGAGTAGCATTCATTGAAAGTATTGCTGATACATATGCTTTAGTTCTTCATTCATTTCATCTTATACATGGTGTCTCAAATATAAGTACACTCAAATTGCTACTCAAATTGAATTTCATTACACTACTCTTTTTATTAGTGCATATATAATACGGATGTATATAACACACTACATTACAATAATGCAAATGCACAAAGTTATATGGTTCCAGTCAAATCCATCTGATGTCTGCTTGCTTATGAAATTTATCTCCAGACCGCACATAATCATTAACAGAATTCTCTTCAAAACTTTTACCTCAAATTAACAAAATGCAACAACAGAAACCAAAATCTCTAACAATGTCAGCATACATCAAATTAACATGACTTTCCGTTCGCTTGGGTATACTTTTATTTCAAAAGCCCTAGGAATAACCAAATCGTCTAAAAATACATAGAATATTTTGTAACTCAAGCATTAATTGGGGGTGGGTTTCGCAGCGTAAAGATGTCAAAAATATCAAAACTACTGACTGGATATACTTTTCAATAAAGTATACATTTATGCTTTTAATGTATAATACAAATTAACGAAAACACTCTGAATGCTCATGCAACGAGATAAATTTATCAGCGTCAGGTTTAATCGATCTTATAGATATCTTTAGCAACTCCTAAAATGATCATATATGGAGTAATCTTGATACTTTAGAACAGTAGTAAGCATTTGCGTGATATGTTACTTGAAAACTAGGCAAAACTACCTACTTACTTAACCTTTTCCGGAGGTTTAGAGCCGGTATTAGGGCTCAGTTTTTTATGTATTTATGTATTATTATTTTTTATTTATTAGTCAGCTATATTAAAAAGAAGGAGCAGAAAAACAAATCAACAGGGTGTTACGCTTCCTACTCCTTTTTAAAGGGTAAATTTTAAACCTCCATAATTTATTGAAATTTCTTGACGCACATAAAAAAGTAGTTAAAGTAGGTAACGTGTAGGACATATATGTCCCAGGCTCCTGAAAAGGTCAAAACATCCGTGGTCAGTAGTCATAATCTTAACCTTGCTGCAAGTTTTCTTGCACTGCAGAGAAGGACTTCAAGAACTGCATATTGCCTGAAGGGTCTCTAGTTGCCCACTTCTGTTTAATATACTTAGAGAAGTATTATCATCTAGATATTTCTTACGTAATTATATACTGACTGTAATTTTCAGATGAGGACGGCCAAGAAGAGCGAGTGACCTTCGCCGAAATGTATGAGGAAGTAAAGCTGTATGCAGCAGCCTTCAAAAAAGGTGGCCTTCAGAAGGGGGACAGAGTCGCCTGTGAGTTATTAAATATTAAAATATACTCTAATTAATCACAATTATTGCATTTATAACAAAGTTTATTGATATTGTTTTAAATATGTATCGATATTGCCGATTGCATTTGTAAATCATTGTTCTGTGTTCTAGGTTACATGTCTAATAGAAAAGAAGCTATTTTTGCTATGCTAGCAGCAACTAGTATGGGTGCTTTGTTTGGTGGACCTTTACCTTTCTACGGAGCTAAGGTAACTTAATATACTAACAAATTTTTAAGATAAATTTAGTAATAATGCAAAATGAATCAAGTAGCTTTAGTTAATTTTACGCTGTTAGAAGTTTTCAAATTTTGATTCCAAAGGAGAATACCAATAGTATAAAAAAATCTTTTAATGAAACTACGTCCTAAGAATTTATGTAGTGCCAAAAATTTGTAATTTAATCGTGGTTTCTAAGTTTCGAAACATTAGAGCTCCACAAGACTCAGTTTGACCTATAAAACGATTACATTTCTTTGTATGCTAACTGAAATCTTTTAAGATTATCAAATATCGCTTATGTACACAGGGTAGCTACCAGTCTTCGTAGAAAGGAAGGGATAAAATTCCTGAAATAGCTTAAAGATTGCCTTAATGTATTTTTTCCATGATTAACCTTCATTTAGACGCATAAGGCTTTGAAACATCGTTTTTTTTCCTTGTTTTTTCTGAAGCTGATAATTTAGAAGCTTACCAATCATCTAAGCAAAATAATTGACTTTTTTTACAAGTCTTATTTTTTATCAAAAGAATTACTAAATACGCGCAAATCACATTCGAAAATTAACGTAGTTCATGTAACTTCTTGTATTACTTTCTTATTCACACTGGTAGTTCGATCTGCGTTTGATTTCAGGCGAACAGGCTAGCTGCATGGACGTTTTTGTTGTTTCCGCCATATACAGTGGGTCCGTAAAGTCATGGTGCACTTTTGATCGGTCACAAGAAAGCAACAAAACAAGATAGAAATCTGAAATCTTCACCAAACAAAAGAAAACCTCTTAAAGTTCCATATCTATTCAGTGCAGTTTGATGGGGACTCCATCCATGCCGTCACAGCTTACTCCGCAAAGAAAAATGGTCCTATTACTTTATCATGCATCAGACCGCACCACACGTTCACTTTAGGGCTGTTACGTTCGTACTCTACAGGAATCTGTTATCTTTGTCGACCTCCTGAAGCATACCTGTAACAAACGCAAATCACTTGGATCTATCCGTCGGTTTGATTGCGTCCAATAGCTGCAATTTGTAACAGCTGCTTAGGTAACTCTTCCATATAGCCTCTACAGACTCGTCACTAACCGATGGCCTGTCAAAATGGAGTTTCTCCAACAAATTGTCGATATCCTTCAACTGCTTATTCCACCGATTAATGTTATTTCTATGTGGTGGCGATTCGTTGTACACGCGACGATATTCACGTTGCACTTTGGTCATGGATTCGAATTTGGCAAGCCACAGGACACGCTGAACATTCCTCTGTACAGTTCACATCTCGACTGGCTTAGGCGTGGACGGGCTGATCTGCTCCTTCACATTTAGCCGTGCTACGTCATCACCTGTGTGCGCACATGCTTGCACATAATATTATCAGGTTCAATGTTTCTTCTAACCTTCTTCGGAAACATAAAATGACCTGACTAGAACAGAGAGCTTACTAAAGCTATGTTCACTAATTGTAGTAAGTAGACAGGATACAGACGAAGGGTATACAAAACCCTTTATTTTTTTTCTTTATATACAATGACTTCCGTACTTCGGAATACAATGACCCTCCACTCGGGGTCTAACTTAAAAGATATCAAAATAAAACTAAACTCTAATTTAACTTTAGAATAAGATTGGCCTTATAATAACCGAAAGCGTATGTAGCACAGAGACTGTTGAACACTACAATACGTTTAATTATCAAGAGGATTAAAACCTCTGGCCTGGAAGGCAAAGTAGCAACTGCGTAACTTCTAAGGTAAGCGGCCTGCTTCGAACTCACGGCTTCCTCCTCTTCTGCTTGGCAAAAGGCCCCACACTTAAATACTTGGCGTTCGCCAGACAACTTTGCATAAACTCCTTCACGCTTATAATTCTGGCCGAAGTAGAAAATAAGAAGTGATAGTAAAGATTTAAAATAAAATAAACGTTAGTAAAACTTAAGATCCTTACATACTTCCCGCCAGAGTTAATTAGTTTTGAAACTGAGTTCTAAAACGACCTTTGTTGAAAACTTTTAGCTCTAGAACTAACGCGAGGCCAACTTTACCTCATAACTTAGCTAAACTAGAAAATTTTAAAAGAAAGAATTGTTACAATAGCAGCTCCCGGAATATACAACAATTTTTCTTTTTCAATCTGTACTGCATCAAAAACAGGAGCTTTATTCAATTCTGGTTCCTTCCAGAGATCTGGAAGGAAAACTAGTTTTAATGAAATGTTACGAAATGTTGCAAATAACATATAGAATACTTTTCTTAACACATTCTTATTTCATTCATGACTATTTTAATTATCTCTCCCCGTGCTCTCTGACATGTGTTGTAAAAACACCAAACACGAATGTGTTTCTGTCTATGTGTTCAACACTTCCTCCTACATCAAAACACTAACGTGTTAAAATTCAACATACGAGACCTCTTAACACACCCTAATTTCAACTCTAGACCCTGAGGTACTATTCTGAAGTGGCTAACCTCTAAAGTGTAGCGTCAGAGAGCCTAACTACATCATTCAACCTTTAACACATATTCACCATGATTTAATCTTTACAGTCACACGAATAACAAATTTTTTTTAACATTACTTTCACTTTTACCATATCACGGTATTTCTAAACATTCAAAATAACAGTTCACATGTATACAAGAACATATCAAGATGCCGTTAATTTTACACATTTGAAAACATACATTATAGTACAATTGTTAACTTCTATTCTTTTCAAAGCAAGTGCCAATTCTTTCTACATTGAAATAATACTACATTTCAAAAAGTCTTTCAGACTAAAACTTCTTTCTTGTTAGAATGTTTTAAATAAAATTTATACAATAACTTTTACAATATTTAAGTCTTTATACAACGCTATTATACATCAACTTTAGTTTTACGCGCGAGTAATTGAAAAACATAATAAGAAAATCGGTCACAACTCATTTCTCGCCCTTTTGGCGATAAAGGTAGACCTCGCATGAGGTAAAACTTCTTGAAATCTGCCACTTGCAGTAAGAATGAAAGATTAACTTAAGTTTGTAAAGTAACATAAAATTTTACTTATCTTTGTAATATTCAGACATCCTTTTCTGGGCCCAGTCTTTAAAGGTGCTGCAGACCGTAGCTTGGTTGATCCTCCTTCTTGTACGGGCTCGCCCTTCAGTGCTTTACTCTGGAAGCTTCCGTTTTTTCACCACTACGGCCACCCTTGAACATCTTCCTTTTCCTCTGCTTTGGTCTTGGCCGTTTGAAGGCAGCTGGTCTTGGTGGAACCGGGAAACTTCTGTCGTGATCCTGCTTGGAACCTCGTTGTTGGCCGTTCAAATTTTTCTTGTACTTTTTTTCCTCCGCCGCCGCTGATGGCCCTTCCGCAGTTCGGCGACTTTTGCTGCGGAGAGTCTGTCGGATGAGTCATCTTCCGTTTCACAGCCGGGTTTATAGTTGCCGTCCGTTCTCCCGGTCTTTTCACATCGTCGTCCTTTCTCCCTTCTTCATTCTGGGGTGTTCGTGCACCTCTGTTTTTTGGACGGTGGAACGGCTTCTTTTTCTTTGTACCTTCAATTTTCCGCGGGGCAATTTCTTTTCACTGCTTCTGTCTCTCAATTGGCTTGCCCTTGTACTTGTCGTTTTCCACCTCTGGAACTTGTACCTGCGTGTCCCGTACCGGATCCTGCAAAAGATCTGAAATATTTGCATTTTATTACGTCATAGAATGGTTTATCTGGTCAATGTTTTGCGGAACAGGTTTCACCATTTCTTGCCTTTAAACTACAACAGCGTGAGTTATTTTTTCTATAACATATGGTCCTTCAAAGCGTGGAAAAATTTGGCAGTTTTATCTTCTGGTGCTGAAGAAAGTGAATGCTTAATTTTTAGTACTTCATCCCTACTTTATAAGTTACTCCCGTCGTTTCAGTCATAACATTTTTGTTTTCTTTTGCTACTTCCGTATTCTTTTTTGCTTCTTTTATTATTTTTCTATATCCCCATTTTAAATTTGGGCTCTTGTTGCACATAAAATAGTTTATCTAACGGGTTATAACCTTTTGCCTAGAAATAATCAGCAGGAGTTTTCCCGTTGTATCATGTTTTTCGGTCCTAAGGGCGAAGCAAATTCATTGACATAGTTAGCCCAGCTTTATGAAAATTTTAACATAACTACGGATAATTTTCACTATATTTCTGTTGACCCTTCCGCTATATTTGATTGCGGCGATACGGGATTTTTAAATGACGTTGCCCAGTTTTTGCACATGTCTTCAATATATTACTTACAAATTGAGGACATTATCCATATAACTTTTAGGGGCCCCAGTTTTAAATATATTTATTTAAAATAGAATCGTAACTAATTTCGCGGAGGCTCGTTTAAGGGAACAATTTCGTCCATTCTAAAATGATCAACTATAACAAGGAGATAGCGACTTGTTTAACTGACTTTTTGGAAAGGGCCCAAAATCGATGCGATATTTCATTTGAATTCGGATTAATATATTTAGAACCCGCCGGGCGGAAATTAATATAATTAATGCTTACATTTTGGGCAGGACTGGACATACGCCCTTGTTAACTTTTGCAGTCAGGAAAGTAACTGCCTCGCTTACGCGTTGATGTTTTCGAATACCAGCATGAGAAGCTAAAGGCTGTCATGGCTCTTGAGGATATTTAATCTAACTAGCTGGATAACAGGTCGAAATTCGTTGGAATTCGTAGTTTGTATAAAATAATAGACATCTATTAGTTTCGTTAATGGCCGCCCTATTTCTTATCCCACAATAACTCGGTGGCTAAAATTTTCAGATCTTCAATACTCTAAAATACTTAAATCAGATCGACCCAGTTCTTATTCAGTTTCTCGGGAATTTATTGTACACGCTGTCAGCATTGCAACTTTTACGTATACCTCGTTCGTCTATTTTAATTCTGACAGGGGTCTCTACGATATTTCCTTTCCGGGGTATGCTTGATTACCAGATTATATTCTTGAGCTTTCGTCCCACTTATTAACCTTGGGG